ATATTAAGTGATTTAAAATCATGAGATTTGAGATACTCAAGCCTTTGTATTTGAGTGACTATAATAGTTTTGTTTTCATTTTTCACAAGACCCTCCAGATGATGCAATCACGAGGGTCTTGGGTATCCACACGACTGCCATATCAAAATCCTGATGTCTTTGTGCTTACTTGCTAGAGCCTCAAATTCTGTCAAGATGACAAAAGCCTGTCATTCACCAATTACAAGCAGCATGCAATAGCAAAGGATGTAGTATAGAGAACCCCCCATGGACTTGAGTTTCAAGACAAGAATTGAGTCTTTTTTACAGTGTATCTTGGGGGAAAAACTACATTTTCTGCCTAATTTTTTTTTCAACTGCAAATGGCTAAGATCTGTAGGTTTCAGAGTCAAAGGAATCTAATTAAATCCATATTAAGCATGTGTAAATGAGTAGATACATAGCTGTGAGGCTTTTTCTATTGAAGAGATGGTGTTATTTACATTGTTGATATAGATATCTGAAGGGACAGAAGCTTCCAAACATGCATTGCTTCATCTTCTGCAGAATCAGTTCAATGAGAGGGCCCCTCTAAGAGAAGTCGAAGAAAGAAGTAAACAGAGGCTAGACGTCAGGACCTGCCCTGTGAGAGGCACCAAGTGCTCCTACTGTTGTTCTTCTGTGCTATCACAGCAAGCTCATGGGACATGTCTTATAATTGTCGTTTTTATAAAAATGAAGAAAACAAGACTAGAGGTGAAGGAAGCTTCTTGAAGCCACACTACCAGTAAAGTGATAACATGTTAAGCCTAGGCATGGGTGCCAACAAATATATATTCTATTCTAACTATAACAGAGAACATGTATTATGGGTTAACTTAAGGAAATTATTAAGGGAAAAAGTTCTAATTTGTGCACAAGAAACACAAAAAAAGGAAATCCTTTGCAGTATTAAAATAGGTTGAATCTGTCTTCCCTTCAACATGATTTTGTAGTGTGAGGATGAAATTCGGGACCTTGCTCATTCTGGGTATTTAACCTCTTGTTGTTTGCCTGTCTGTCTGATTGACTGACAGACAGGATCCCATTATGTAGCTCCAGTTAGCTTTAAACTTTAGGATAAATTAGGCTGGAGTCAAGCTCAGCATCCTCCTGCCTCAGCCTCCAAAGCCCCCTGACCTCAAACCTACATCACCATTTCCTGTTCTTATCTTTAATCCTGGGGATCTTTCATTTATGTTTCTCAGCCTGACCTCTCTGAACAATGCTAATTAATTTTGCTATTTCCCCAGCCTAATTTTCTTAGAACACTGCAAATCCTGCTTCCTTCTTTCCAGCTTTTCCATCCTATCATCAACTCAAAGCATAACTGAAAAAAGTTAAACTTTTGTTTCTTTGTAGTTGGACAGAAAAATTCAGTGAGAAATAAGTCTTGACAAAATTCTCTGGTAAAACCAGGAACAGACTTCTGAGTGTCATGTTTCTTGTATTACATACTCTGATAGTTATTTTTGCTTGCTCATTCCAAGCCTGGCTATATATCCTGTGACCCTAACCCTGACTGCTTGACATTCGGAATACCCAGGTGTGCCAAATTAGTGCTAATTAAGCAATGCTGCACATGCATGTCCTTTGACTCACTCGTCCCTTGTGTCCACGGCAACGAACTATGAACACTAGCAACATAATGGTTATTTATGGATGAGCCTGACGGCCTTAGCTCAGGGCTCCTTTATAGCAGCTAATGTTCGCAAAGTAGGCAAGAAAAACTTGTTTGCTTCTTCACTGATTATATAGATAAGCACTACTAGGCCGGATTAGTTCATTGTGCTGTTCTGGAACTTGAATGAGATTCTGTGTGAGAAAAACAAAATAAGAATCATTTTACTGTAAGTCAGCCACAAAACTACAAAGCTGATAGTCACACTTAAAAGTTTTTTTTTTAATTGGTTGACAGGAATTAAATTAAGTATCTTTTTAAGTTTTTTTCAGAAGAAGTAAATTTGAAAAAAAAAAAAAACTATATAGTATCACACATCTGTAATCCCAGTACTCAGGAGGTAAAGGTAGAAGCAGGAGGACTAGGAATGTAAGATCAACCTCAGCTACAAAGCAAATTTGAAGCTAGCCTGAGCTACATGAGACCCTGACCTTGAAGTTAATTAACTTGGATAAACATCCCACTGTTCTGTTTTCTTGTGACCAGCAAGCAATCTTAATTGCTCTGATGTTTGTTTTCTCTGATTGAATGTTAAGCTGAGAGCTCCCATTCCAGATGAAAAAGAATTGGCCATGAACTAATCATTAAAACTGGGAAATGAGAGCAGGCACACAATTGGTTATTCTCTTCTTCCACCATCTTTACCACCCTGGATGACAAAGAGCTAGAGTCATCTCCTGCCTAAATTATTGCGATATCTCTTGATCATACTGCTTTCATCTTTGCTTCCTTACCTGTATTCCATTTCAGCATACTTACCAAACTGTTGATTTACAGCTTAATTGATTTACATGCCAGTTCTCTAAAGGCAGAAAAGGGTAGTGGGAGCCAGGTGTGGCAGCACGTGTCTTTAATAGCAGTACTTAGGGAGAAGAGACAGGGAATCCCTGAGGTTAAGGCCAAACTCATCTACAGAGTGAGTTCCAAGACAGCCAGGGCTAGGCAGAGAAACCCTGTCTCAAAAAACAAAGCAAAAAATTATGAAGGAGAAAAAGTAGGAGGAGGGGGAAGAGAAGGAGAGGGAGGTGGAAAGAGTCGTGGAAGGAGAGTAGGTAGCATTGTTAGAAGTTTATCCCGCCAAAGGCGTGACTGCCCTGGCGTGAGCTAATTAGTCTGGTAAGAACATCGATAGCAAGGTGTGCGCTCTATTTTCTGATGGGGGGTACATAGGAAAAATTAGTAGATTGTCTGTGAAATTGAAGAAAATTATGAGAAACCAGGTAATTTTGAGGTAAATTTGGAACAAGGAGTTATGAGACTAGAATTAATGCTGAGCTGCTGTGATGAAGCACAATGGACCGATCTCAGGGTAGGGGCGAGGAATTAAGGACCGTGTCTGGGATGTTCTAAAGCAATTAGGTGGGGGAGTGACAAAAAAAATGACGTAAAGAGACAGGAATGGTTTTAAATGCCAAAAATAATTTCTGCGTGTGATTTTTTTTTTAAGTTAATGCTTCCCTGTCATAAGAAAATGCCGAGTTTAAAAGTTCTTATTTTGACTGAAATTTCTCATGACTGAGAAGTATTTGAAGATCAGTAAATACGTGAGTACCAGCAAGATATAGTGGGTATTTGAGGAGCTGGGATACTGTTAGTTCATGCTAGAGGCCTTTAGTAAATGTACAAGACCATTTAAAATGGTACTCCTCATGCACAAGTACTGACATTGGCACAGTAGCAGCTTGTGAATGTTTTGATGTTCAACTTGAAGAAAAAAATATTCTTAAAATGTCTTCTTGCTAAATTAAATACATTAGGAATTTTCATCTTAGAGCTATACCTTTGTGTGTGTGTGTGAATTAATCCCTGGGCCTACATCCAGGAGAGTACTCTACCACCAAGCTCAGCTAACTCCCCAGCCCTGAGCCTTTACTTTTACAAAGTGGTTCAAAGTCTAGTTTAATAAATACTGGGGGAAAACACTGGGTTCTTGTCAGAGAGTCAAGCCAACTGACGATGATACTAATTGCTTTCGTGGAAGGGCTGGTGTCTGTAGCAAGACACGATAAACGAATAAATGCTTCACAGTCCTGAAGCATTCGCTGCCTCCTTCATGCAAGTACAGCATTGCAAAGTTCATTAACACTTCAGGAAGTAAGCAAACCTTGCCAGAATTCAAACAGTGACACGTAATAATCAAGGAATTGTGTGGAATTATCGAGGTGCCCAAAGCAATCATCAGAAATGTCAGGGCAGAATTTAGACTTGAAAGATAACTATCTTCAACCCAGGGAACAACCAAAGGTAGTAACCGTTTTAACCAGCTGTTCCAGGAAGTGAAGGAAACTGAAGCAGTAGCTGGAATCAAGGCTCGATTTCTCAGTTATTTGGAGAAATGAGTTGAAAAGTGACCTCTAGTGGGCTTTTTCTTCCCTGGTAAAGTTGACTTTTTTATTTTGAAAAAAAGTAAGTTTTTCTTGCCTTCACCATCCCTAGTTTTTTTACTCTGTAGCTACAAATTGCGATAACATTAAAAGCAAATTTAGAAACTTAGTATATTTATTTCAATTGCATTTAAATTCTAAAATCAGTGTTTCAAAGGGAACTCAAAAATACTAGTGGTTTGCTCTAACATGTTTGAAATAAGGTGAGCTTTAAAACATGGGTTTTTGTTGTTGTTGCTTTGCGGGGTGTTTGTTTTTGTTTTGTCTAAACAGCATTGTGTTCATTGGGCAAAAGTGCTTGTCTGGTCAGCTCATGACAGATACAACACAGACTCGTGAACAACAAACCAGGATGACCCATCAGTATGTACATTCCTGGGCCTGAAGTTCATTGCATTTGCCTCCCACATATTGAATTGGTCTATAGCATGTTTTTCCACAACTGACCAGGCAACTTATGCTGGACCCTTGAATTCTAAAATAAAGTTAACCCTCTACCATGAGCCACATCCTCTGCTGAACAAGCAGAACAAAGGCCATAAATCAGTATCAGTTGCTTCCTGATTCAGGATCACAAGTTAAATTTATTTTTAAAAGCACTCACTGAAAACACGTACAATGCTGATTTGTGGTTGTGTAATGAAACAGTGACAGCAAGAGAGCTTCACCAAGTTCAAGATACATATGCCTCAGGAGACACGATTAACTGTATTTTACTTTTAAAGTACGGATTTTGTTGTTGTTTGATTGTTTTGGTTTTTGAGACTATAAACATCACCTTGGCTGGCCTGGTGCTCACAGAGAACACCAGGCTGGCCTTAAATGCAGACATCTGCCTGCTTGGGGCTGAAGGTGTATGCCTCCGTTCCCAGCTTAATAAAAGAAAAATTCAGGGTCACGTGGTGGCTAGCCGGAAAATGGCGGCTTCTGGAGAGAGCGGGGCTTCGGGTGGCGGAGGCAGCATGGAGGAGGCGTTTATGACCTTCAGTGAGGTGAAACAAATAGAGAAGAGAGATTCAGTTCTAACATCCAAAAATCAGATTGAAAGATTGACTCGTCCCGGTTCCTCTTACTTTAATCTGAATCCATTTGAGGTTCTTCAGCTAGATCCTGAAGTGACAGATGAAGAAATAAAAAAGAGGTTCCGGCAGTTGTCTATATTGGTGCATCCTGACAAGAATCAAGATGATGCTGACAGAGCACAGAAGGCTTCTGAAGCTGTGGACAAAGCTTACAAGTTGCTACTGGATCAGGAACAGAAGAAGAGGGCCCTGGATGTAATTCAGGCAGGAAAAGAATACGTGGAACACACCGTTAAAGAGCGAAAAAAACAGCTAAAGAAGGAAGGAAAGCCTACAAATGTAGAGGAAGATGATCCCGAATTGTTCAAACAGGCAGTCTACAAACAGACCATGAAACTGTTTGCTGAGCTGGAAATTAAAAGGAAAGAGAGAGAAGCCAAAGAGATGCATGAAAGGAAACGACAGAGAGAAGAGGAGATCGAAGCCCAGGAAAAAGCCAAGCGAGAAAGGGAGTGGCAGAAAAACTTTGAGGAAAGTCGGGACGGTCGAGTGGACAGTTGGCGGAATTTCCAGGCAAATACGAAGGGGAAGAAGGAGAAGAAGAATCGGACCTTTCTGAGGCCACCGAAAGTAAAGATGGAACAGCGCGAGTGACCAGCTGGGCCACGGCCAGAGCTTTCCCAGCTGCCTCCTTCTGCTTCAAGGACTCATTTTTTTCTCAACTTCCACCCCAACATAGAGTAGTGTTTGCTTTTTAGTCTATTTTGTTTTAAATACAATTTAATATCAATCAGAGTAATTCTTTGTCCATTGAGAGGAGGGCTTGGTCAAACCTCTCCCCCTCCTTCCTCACGGAGCCGCCAGGATTGGAAGAAACCAACTCTTGCTGCCTTCTTTCCCCACAGCCTGTAAATTAAATGTTTCGTATTTCACTGAGTGGTGGCTCGAAGGCCATGTATACTTCGTGGAGCTCCTCCAGCTAAATGTCCTGCCTCCAGGGGTGTTGCCGTGACTCCACACCAGCCTGGGCCACCTTGGGAAGCCCCTTTGCTTGCTTCTGGGCGTGTCGTCCTTGAAACCCTCGATCCAATAGGAGAGGCGTTAAGGATCCATAGGGCAGTCACTGGATGTCCTGACGCCCTGTGTTGTTTGGGCAAGTCCTTCTGTCTGACTGGCCAGTCAGTCAGAGTGGCATGAGGCTCCCAGCACTTAAACCTGTTCACTTTCCAAAGAGTTAGCCATCTTCCAACCAGTCCCACTGTGTCCTCGCTTGTCTGCACTCATTAGTGGTAATATTCTTTTACATATAATAAATTTTTATACCCCCCCCCAAAAAAAAAAAAAAAAGAAGAAGAAGAAAAATTCAGACTCTGGGGATGTTTATTACTGATAGAGCACTTGCCTCACACCAATAAAGCAAAGAAAGGGGCCTGGTGGTGGTGGTGCATGTCTTTAATCTCAGCACTGCGGACAGAGGCAGGAGGATATGTGAGTTCAAGGCCAGCCTAGCCTACAGAGTGAGTTCCAGGACAGCTGCAGCTGGATAGAGAAACCCTGTCTCAAAACACCAACCAACCAAACAAACAAACACATATAAATACATAAAATAAAATAAATAAAAGGAAAGAAATGTATTCAGAATGTGTTTTTCTATCGCTCAAGAAACCATAAGCAACAAAGAGCCTATGGGAATGCCCTAAACAGTCTCACTTCCTTTCTCTCCCTTTCCTTTCTTTGTTTTTCTTCCTTTATTTCCTTTTTCCTTCTTTTCCTCTACCCTTCCATTCTTTCTTTTCTTCCTTCTTTCCTCCCTTCCTCCCTTGCTTTTTGTTAGAACAGAAGTCTCCCTGCAAAGGCCATTCTGGCCTCAAATCCCCTGGACTCTTAATTTAACCTCTCAGGTGCTAAGAGTACAAGAATGTGTGACCCACAGTCCCTTTGGTTTTGCTCATCTGAGAATATTGCAATTACACTAAGCTTAGGGAACTTAGAAGCTGAACTCTGTAGGTCTTCTCCAACTCACACCACATCATCTTACAAGACTAGAGAAACTTCACTAATTTCCAACTTCCCCTAGTCCAGCTTCAATTCCTTAAGAGAGTGTGACCATAAAACAGGCTGTAGAAAGCTTGGCATTACTGATGTTCATTTTTCATCCATACTTGAGAACTATTCAAATAATGAATGAATTAAACAAGGACAGAAATCACCCCTCTCTTTCTTCCACTTGTAAAATTTTTACTTAATTCACACCAAAATTATTTTTAAAATCTTCCAGCTCCAAGACAGTTCTGAAGAGGCAAGAGGGCTATTTAAAAGAATCTCTGATTACTTTTCAAAGTTGCATAAATATTAGAAAGAATTTTTAAGAAATTCTTGTAATGATTTTGAAGGGTCATGTGCCAATACGATACACAATTGTACTCTTTTAGACTAGAAACTTCTTTGGTGAACGTTTGACTGCTTGTCTCCCCAGTGTATACAAACGTTCAGAGATGTTGCACCCTTAAGTAGCCAGCTTATCAGGACCTCCCACACTGTTCACTCCAGCAGGAGTGAGCAAACAGGTCTGGCCCTGTCCCCTAAAGGCCAGCATTCCTGGGCTCCACCGGACCACCAGGGAAGGGAGCTGGGGAGTATTCCACCTCCAAGCCAGTCTAGGGGAATGAATTTTTCACCCAAGATGTTTAGGGAAGATAAGAGATCTACTCTAAGGGGAGCAGGACCTGATTGGGATTCAAAGTGGACTCGGTCTTGTTCAGTTTTCCATCCGCCATTCTCAAAGAAAAGAAACAGTGTATCTTAGACATCTCTTCTCCGAGTTTCCCAGCAACACCCTGTTCCACTTGGAGAAAGAAGATAGGAAATAACTCTTTCGTTCATAAGTAAGGGGAAAAAAAAGCTGTTAGCTGTTTATACCATCAAAGTTGAGAAGCCATAGTTAATAGAAAATCACAAAAATCTACAAGGAAAAATTATGGAAAAAATAATATTTCTGTATGCAGTGTAACTTGGACTCCAGTGGTTTATCCCCACGCTTTCCCACAACGCCATAGAGTTTTCAGGTAAAAGAGGAGTAAACAGAGTAAGAAAGTGGCCAGTTCAGATAGGCATAGAACACAACCAGGTAGTAGAAGTCACTGTGGCCTTTCCAACCCCAAAACTGCTCCACCTCCCAATACAGCCCAAATGTGTAAGGAGGGGCTGTGGTCATTACTTCGCTCACCAGAGATCGATAAGTTAACAATTTCATTAGCTGCCTTTCTGAAGCATCTGAAACCCTGACCGAAACTGTATGCCCCCAACGCATAAGAAGAAATCGGGAGCAAAACCAAAATGAAATAAAACACATACTTTGACTAGTGGCTTTTTTTTTTTTCCTGTCTGGAAGACAGTTATATACACTCAAGTACATACATGTATTGAAGGTACCAGGTGTAATGCTTAAGTGAATGCTCAACTGTTAGTAGAGCACATCTGGGCACATAGAACACATCTGGGCAACCTGTGTGACTTGTCAATTAATATACTGTTTAGAATGTAGCAACAAGAGGATAAAGGCTTGTTATGCTTTGCAATATTGAAAAGGAAACAAAGACTTTGAATCTCCCAGGCATTTGCTCCACTCTTGGAGTACTAAAATATTCTAGGCTGCTTGCCAAATGGATGTTTTGTTGAATATAAATAAGCTTATTATCATGCATATGTATAATTGCATTCAATAGAACCGAGGGCTAATAAAATATTTTATACCTAAACAGAACAATATTAAGTAGAAAGAATCATTGTCATTTTGCATATGCTTCATAGACATTTTCTTATCTTAATAGTCTCTAAATTCTGAGAGTAGCGGCATTGCCAAAGTCTTTCACGTTACTATGACGTTTTTCTATTAAGAGCCACAGAAGATGCCTGGAATTTAACATGCATGGCTTTAAAAACCTCTTGTTTATTATGAAAAGACCTTTAACTTTCTAACCTCAGCTTTTCTGGAATGTGTATTAAAACATGTGTTCCAATAAGAAAACTTTATTATAGAATAATATTTGATTAAATATCAACTAATACTAACAGTAAATAGTACAGTCAAAACAAATTATCTTTTAAAGTATTCATTCTAGAGGGCTGCACTTAAGATGACTTCACAAAATAAGGGGTTTTGTCATGGTTATCTGGTGCTACTTTACGTCAGTGGAGGGGAAACGTTGTCTTACAGAGAATAATGGTAATGAGTTGCCAGATGTAGCTAGTTCTAGAAAAGACGTTATTTTGGAATTTGAGTCAGAGAGCAATCTAAAAATTAAAAAAAAATAAGCTAATAGAAAGTTTCTCTAATGACATGTGTCAGGGCCTTTAATTTGTCTTTATCACATCCAACTGCTGTTTCAGGCATTCAGTATTCATTTTCATGTTTTATTGCTGAAGCTATCTGCCTGATTGAAAAACTGAAGCTATATATATATGCCATATATATATATGTTTATATATATATATATGCTTATATATATTTATATTTATATATAGCTTATATATATAGCTTATAGATATATCAGGATTATAACATATAATATACTATATAATTATAATATATTATATATATATATAGTTTATATATATATATCAGGATTATAACAGGGATAGTAAAAGCGATGCATTTTACAATTAAGACTGAGAATTTTACCTCTGAAATGAAGTGAACCTCTTTGCTAAATTGCTTATAGAGAAAACACACTAGGGCTAGAAAGTTAGATTAGCAGCCAAGAGCACCTGTTGCTCTTGTGAGGACCGGGGTTTGATTCCCAGCACACACACAGTGCCTGGAAACCATCTGTAACTCCAGCCCCAGGGGATCCAAAGCAGACTTCTGACCTTCCCAGGCTAGGTTCACACCTGGCACACAGACATATATGCAGACAAAACACTCATACACATAGGATGACAAATAAATCAATCAAAAATTTTTACATAAAAAGGAAAAATACAGGCAAGAAGGGTTAGACATTCTAGGGAGGCACGTGGCTGTAGTTGTTCATTCAGGGTTTAACTTTTTCTTTTGTTTGTTTGTAGGATAAAACAAGCAATAAATGCTACAAAATATGTTTAAGAATCAACTGTTACTGAAGAGGGTACATTTTAAAGTTTCAAGGAAGCAAAATGAGCTCCTATTTTTTTAATCTCCGTAAGTTATTTGGAAGACTTGTAAATATAGTTAAAAAATCAACCGTTTTTCTTACTATTTTTTTGTCATAGAAATGAGATAGAAGGAAAAAAGCAAAGGCAGGTGCCAGAAATCTTATGATATCAGCTAGGGTTATATGGAAAGGAGGAGGACCTCCCCTATCAGTGTACTTAGAGAGGGGCATGGGAGGAGATGAGGGAGGGAGGTAGGGTAGGATTGGGAGGGAACGAAGGAGTGGGCCACAGCTGGGTCAAAGTGAATAAACTGTAATTAATATAAAAAAATAAAAAATATATTATGGTATCAGTCTTCCCATGTTGTTTATTGTTTATGTTTATGGGGGTATTCATGGACAGTTCCTATGACTAATTATTTGAAAGCTAAATAACAATACCAATCACCTATCTGAGATATTTTATGACTTCCTTATTTCCCAGACTTGACATTTTCATATGAGGCCCATACTATTTGAAAGGACCCTGTTAGTGGCTCTTCTATATTAGTGCCAAAGAAAAATCCATCCAAAGGTTTGATACCTTAAGCTCCCTTACTTACTTTACTTACATTACCTGTAATTGAGCCAGTCAGAGCCATCCACATTCTACAATTAACTAAGGATTTTTAAATTCTCGGGACATACCAGGAGCTACTGAAAGGAAAGTATTTTTAA